GGGTGGGAAGCCTCAAGGAACCAGAGGAATATAGTGTTTCATCGATGCTTTACTGCACCCTGGTGACTCATCCCCTCCCTGTGGGCCCTCTTATTGTTCCACTATCTACAGATGGGTTTTGGATCTCCATTCCAGCCCCCCTCGTTCTCAACAATATGTTTTTGTTTGTTAAGTGTCTGCTGATGCCTATTACCCAGTCCCTGTGACTCCTCATGATCACACTGGCGGTGTGTTTCTTCCATGTGGACTTGTGGCTTCACTGCTGAATAGCGGCTTGTGTAACTTCAAGCCTTTCAGACCCCAGACGCTATATCTTTTAATAGCCAGGCACCATCCGCCCTCTTCACCACATTTGCTATGCACCTGTTTTGTCTTCAGCGATTGTGTCGGAAGGGTGAACATCTCAGACTGCTGATTGATTAGAACAAAGTGTTTGGACTATCGTCCTTAAGTTCAAGCCCGCTGTTGTAGTCACTGTGTCAATCCATCTCCTTGACGGTCTTTTTCCCTGCCCCTCTACCAAGCATGTCCTTTTCCAGAGACCGGTCTCTCCTGATAACATGTCCAAAGTATGTGAGATGAAGTCTTGCTGTATGCTTCTAAGTAGTATTCTGGCTGTACTACTTCCAAGACAGATGTTTGTTCTTCTGGCATTTCATGGTACTTTCAGTATTCTTCACCAACACGATAATTCAAATTCCTTATTCATTGTCCAACTTTCACATGCTTATGCAACTGAAAATACCATGGCATGGGTCAGGCGCACCTAAGTTCTCAGAGTGGCAGCCTGCTTTTCAACACTACAAGAGGTCTTGTGCAGCAGATTTGCTCAGTGAAATATGGCATTTGATTTTTAAATTGCTACTTCCGTGAGCATTGACTGTGGATTCAAGCAAAATGACATCCTTGACTGTTCATCCTTTTCCCTATTTATCATGAGGTTGTCTATTGGTCTAGTTGTGAGGATTTTGGTTTTCTTTATATTGAGTTGCAATCTTTGACTTTTATCAGCAAGTGCTTCAAGTTCTTCTCACTTTCAGGAAGCAAGTTGTGTCACCAAATATCACAGATTGTTAATGAGCCTTTCTCCTGATGTCACATGTTTTTCTAATATAGTTCAGGTTCTTGAATTATTTGCTTAGCATACAGACAGAAAAATGGTGTAAGACTATTCCCCATACATGCACCTTTCTTGATTTTAAAACACACCATCTTCCCTTGCTTGTTCCAACGACTGCCTCTTGGTCTGTATACAGGTTCTTTGTTATCAGAGCTAGTGTTTCAGAATTCCCATTTTTTATAGTTTGTCATGATCCACACAGTCGAATGCTGCCTTTGTGGTCAATAAAACACACGTAAACATCTTGTGTTCATTACTTTCAGCCAAGATTCATCTGCTATCAGAATGATATTCTTTGTGCCATATTCTCTTTTAAATCAAGTATCAGCTTGAATTTCTAGCTCTTGTCAACGTTGAATTATCTTCAAAATTTTACTTTCATGTCATAGTAATAATGTACAATAACTTCCACTCACTGTTAGTTCACTTAAAGGAACCCTGGTGGTAGTAGATTACAAGTTGGGCTGCTAACCACAAGGTCAGCAGTTCGAAATCACTAGCTGCTCCACAGGAGAAAAGGAGGCTTTCTGCTCTTATATGGCAAAATAATAACAATCAGGAGAGGATAAAAGGGAGCTGATATCAAAGAGTTTAAGGAGAAGAACGTGTTTTGAAAATGATGGTGATAGCAATGTACAATTATGCTTGATCTAATTGATTGATGGATTGTTATAATATCTGTAAGAGCTCCCAATAAAATGATTATAAAACAAAAAAGTTAGTCTTGGAAACTCACAGATGACATTCTACCCTGTCCTATGGTGTCACTATCAGTCTGCAACATCTCCTTGGCAGTGAGTTTTTAGTTCATGTTGGGTCACTTGTCTTTAGGACACAGTTATAGATCTCTTTAAGTCAACTGGTGGGGTAACTGTTTTCCAAATTTCTTGCATAAATATAATAGGATACGTCTTCCCAAGAATCTGCTGGTCATGCCAATATCACATTGTTTCATTTCCTGTGGTTTTGTAGTTAATTTTGAAATCAGGAAGTGTCTTTCCACTTTTTCTAGATTAGTTTGGCTGATTGCACAACGCCCTTTAATATATTTAAACCATTGAATTATATGTCAATCAAATGGCTTAAAAATTAGATTAGTTTGGTCTTAAAAATCCTTTGCATTTCCACATGACTTTTAGAATCAGCCTGTCAAATTATGTTTTTAAAAGTTTATTTTAGCCCCAATCCCAATGACATGGACAGCCCCCTCTCCCCACAGGAGAATTTATTTCAGAGGACAGCATTGAAGCTATACAGCTCAGGGAGAGGGACATGTCTGATCAGAGCACACAGTTGGGGAGGAAGAGAGAGTTGAGCATATCCTGGCCCACCAAGCCTTGAGGACGATATCCCTGCTTAGAGCAGCCAGTGCACAGAGAGGACCATATGGCCGGCCCCAGTAGGAGACACAACATCCCTCACTGACCCATAGCCCTACAGGGGACAACACTGGAGACACAGTGTGGGAAATGCGCCTGATCTGACCCCACCACACCAAGGCAAAACAAGGGCGTGCAACAGAACAGCAAGGGGAGCAGAGCAAGTAAATCCCAAGGGAATGCCAAAATAGACTTTGGGGCCAGGGCGTGGCACCCCATCAGATTCAACCGGAAAGCACTCCTAAAGGTCAACAAACAGACCTTGAACTATTTACAGGCGTTTCTTCCTTTTTTGTCATTGGTTCTTTGTTTTCTCTTGTTGCTTTGTTTTGCTCTGTCTTGTTTTTCTGCATGTTATCATCTCTGCAGGTCT